CTTCCTTCCTTCCTTCCTTCCTTCCTTCCTTCCTTCCTTCCCATCAGCTGTTGGAGGATGGCTCAGAGGCAGCTATGATGTAATCAGGCAGGGAGGCAGAGTCAGAGCTGGATCCAAGCCGCTCGCCACGGACGCATCTCTGCAGCGAGGAAACCCGGAACGAAGCCGTCAGGAAGCGGATTGAGGGAGCAGATCGGCGTCGGTGGAGGATGGAGGATGGAGGAGTCATGCTGCGGGGGTTTGATCGGATCCTTTCTCCTCCTCCGGGGAAGAGGCGAGTGGATGCGGGATGCTGCTGGTGAAATTCCCCATCTGTCATCATAGATGTAATTAACCCTCTTTGGACCAGGATTGATCAAACCGAGGAAACGCGGATATCTGCGGCTCCTCAGCTCCACATCTGGCCGCTCTAACTGTCTCCTTTTCTCCCAGGATGATGACAGGAGCTCCGGCTTTCAGCGCATTCAGGCCCTTCATTCCTGCAGCTCGGATCTGATGCTTTAAGACGGATCAGTTTCTGTAGCAAACAGACATCTGCTGCCAGGATCCATTTCCCTTTCTGAGAGATTTTTAATGCAGACCGTGGGTTTGGTTGCAGAGTCCATGCAGTAGCTGCCCACTGTGGGCCCCTGTGACTCCACAGGAGCGTGGGGGCTTCTGACCGTCTCACAGGGGGACTGCAGGTCCTTCCAGCTCAGGGTTGAACCATGGCCAATGAACCTGTCATCCTGAACGTTTATGACATGGTAAGGACAGCACTCACTTTACTATGACTTACACACACTTTTTAATAAATCTAATTCATTATTCTATGAATAAAGCTGGGAGATTTACCTGGAAAGATATAAATAAATAAATAAATAGCTGAATAATCATGCACATAGTAATATGTCAGGAAATAGCATAAAAAGCATTTCCATCCATCACTTTACTTTAAAAGGAGTAAATAAAATCTTCATAAATCACCAAACTGGTAAATAAATCTCAGCTCATTAATTCAGGCTTGAGCAAAAGAAGCGTTTGGTTGGAAAACATTGAAACATCTCAAAAAGCTTTGCAGCTACAAACCTAAACCATAAATGTTATTTTTAGACATCCAGGTCTGTATTTTCTCTAATGATGCAGACAGGAGTTACACTTTGTGTAATCAGTGACATTTAAATGCACCATTTTACAGTTGCACTGTAAACATTTTTCTAAATCCCCCCCTCTATTTCCTTCCTTCCTTCCTTCCTTCCTTCCTTCCTTCCTTCCTTCCTTCCTTCCTTCCTTCCTTCCTTCCTTCCGTTGGACTTTCTTGTTAAGAGATATTTTTCTTTTTTTAAAAGCATTATTTTAAAGTGAATAATTAGTGTATTTAAAGGCACACATCACTGATACAGTCACCAAGAATACATCTGTTTCCCTTGCAATATGTGGCAACAATAAGACAATGTAACGGGATACAAAAGAATAAAATATTTACTCACCAAATCACTGGGACAAGTAGGTTAGGTCAAGGTGTCGAATGGACCTCCGGGTCCCATCAACACCATGACCAATGAACCTGTCATCCTCAACGTTCATGACATGGTAAGGACAGCAGTCACTTTACGATGACTTACACACACTTTTTAATAAATCTAATTCATTATTCTATGAATAAAGCTAGAAGATTTACCTGGAAAGATATAAATAAATAGCTGAATAATCATGCACATAGTAAAATGTCAGGAAATAACATAAAAAGCATTTCCATCCATCACTTTTACTTTAAAAGGAGTAAATAAAATCTTAATAAATCACCAAACTGGTAAATAAATCTCAGCTCATTAATTCAGGCTTGAGCAAAAGCAAACAAACAGCAGCTGTAAAGTTGCTGTTTGAAGAAGCGTTTGGTTGGAAAACATTGAAACATCTCAAAAAGCTTTGCAGCTACAAACCTAAACCAGAAACCATAAACTGACTGGTCAGGGGAGGGTCAGGGCAAAGGTAGCCTAAAACCCTAAAACTGTTTTGGAGCTTCCATGATCCACAGCTCAGGTGGGAGAATCTATCAACATGATTCGTTATAAATCAGGCCTTTCAGGAAGAGCGATAAAGATGAAGCCGTTGCTGAGAATTTGTAGTGTATCACCATTCAACTAGGAGACACAGCAAACGTAAAAAAAAGTATTTAGATGGTGCTATTAGGTGCAAAACTCTCTCTGTGTGAAGGAAACCTAGCACTGCATATCACCCTAAACATGATATCCTAATTTGGTGGAACTTCATGCTTTAGGGATGTTTTTGGAGGATTGATGGAGCAGAAAAACACAGGAAGAAACCCTGTTAAAGTCAGAAACAGATTTCAGGAGTTCAACTACATTAAACATAGAGACAGAGCTACAGAGGAACTGCTTGGATCAAGGTTCCTACTCTATTCTGGAGATCTGGTGTCCTGCACAGTTTAGATGTTTCTGTTTCCACGCCTGAATCAAGCAGCTGATTTACTTCCTCAGTATGCAGTCGATTTCTGCTCATTTATTTATTTAATCAGGACAGAACACATTAATGAACAATCTTATACTTCTGTACAGACTGTAAATGAGCCAGATTATAGCATAGTTGCTAATTTACATCTGTCATCCTGAGGCAGGAGGACAAAACAACACAAGATCACATAATACAATATCAGTCAAAACACATAGACACACATTCAGAAAATGACATTACAACAATAAAATTAGTGAGTGCATGACTGGGAACTTAAGAAACTGTTTAAGGTGCTTTTTAAATGTGCAGAGATGGCAAAAGTACTCACTTTCCGTACTTGAGTAAAAGTACAGATACTTGTGTTAAAAAATACTCTGGTAAAAGTTGAAGTACTGATTAAACTTCTTTACTCAAGTAAAAGTAACAAAGTACAGGCTTGTAAATTTACTTAAAGTATAAAAGTAAAAGTAGAAACCACTTTTTTCATGCCGTT